AAGAATTGCTCCATTGGTTTTTTCGATGGCTGATTTTTCCCTAGTTTGCCAGATCTTTCTTCAAAGGCACCTCTGAGTGAACTCAAACCTCCAACTTTTCAGTCAGCAAGCAAGTATATGAAGGATTTGCACCACCCAGGATTCCTACAGCTTCTTGTATTGATATTTTTGGTCACTTTGTATTACAACTGTTCATTTGTTTCCTACCTGTTGACTGACATAATTTCTCTTCAAAACTTTGGAGAGATCCCTGACGGTAGACTTTCCCAATGCTATACATCTTTGATCTCCTGATGATGCCAGTTTAAAGACTAGGGTGTACCTGATTCAAGCCACAGTCTTTCTAATCACCTGCTAGGCACTTAAGAGCTAGACAATGAATAAAGATAACAGGAGAAAAATTGACGCATTTGAGTTGTGATGTTGGAGGATAGTGCTGAGTATTTCATAGAACGCCAAAAGAACAAACAGATATGTCTTGGAGAAATCGCAAACACAATGTACCTTGGAGGTGAAGCTTCATCTGACATATTTTGGATGTTTTGTTAAGAGAGGCTCTTCCTTGGAAAGGGGCATTATGTTTAGAAAGGTGGGGATTCAACAAAGGAGAGGAAGAAGAACATTGAAACACGAGATGGATTTATACAGTGTTTTCAGAAATAAGCTCAATTGTGTTGAGGGTGATAAGGGTGGTATGGGATAAGGCAGAGTTCAGATCTATTTTTCATAAGATTGCTATGTGTTGCACTTGACTTGACAACACTTACCAACAGCAACCTGTTGACCATAATCTCTTTGAGGATAGAAAATATATTTTCTTTTTCTTTGTAACTCCAGGTGTAATACAATATCTAGATGGACAATCTCCTTTAGTGTGATTAACTGCTGCTGAAAATTCTTTGGGGTGAGCTATGGGGTCAGTTCCAACTCTGGTATACAACAAAAAGTATTTCATTAAGGTTTGGACTGAGTGAAGGTAGAGGACCAGTAAAAGAGAAGAAGACTCTTAATGAGATGGATTCAAATAGTGACTGTAGCAATGGGCTCTGTGAGTCAGAGATGATGAGATAGCATAAGATAGAGCAGGGTTTAGATCTGTTGTTCATAAGGTTGCTGTTAGTCGGACTTGACTTGAGGTCACCTAACAACAACAACATATACTGAGTATTTACTATAAATAGAACAACACTATGAGTCACTTCAAGCTGAATGTCACTTAATCATTACAATCTCTTTGCTTCTCAAATATGCACAATGCTTACATTTCAGTACACAATGGAAATTTCATTCTTCTCTGGGTAATGCATGCTCAAAGTTTGGAGTTTGAGTCCGTTCAGAGGTGGCTCAGGAGAAATCTAATTTTAAAAAATTGACATTGAAAACTCTATGGGGCACAGTTCTGACACACCTCGAATTACAAAGAATAAGAATGATTTCATAACAACTAGGTGTCAATATTCGGTGCAGTTGGTAATTTAAATCCTACAATAGTCTGTTTTTTTCCATCTGAAATGTATTCAAAAGAATAAAGATGTTTTTGTAGTCATTTAATAGTATGTTCCACCCAGACAAAATTTATTAGATCTTAAGAAAGTTCTGGTGGCCTAGTGGTAAGGAGCTGTGTTGCAATCATGAAAGCATATAATTGAAATCCCCAAGCTTCTCTGTAAGAGAAAGATGGGCAATCTCCTCCTGTGCTATTAAACAGTCTCTAAAACCCCACTGGATAATCAGCTATGGGTGGGTTCTGACTCAACAGTGCACAACAATAAAAACAAGGATAAGGATCACAATCACCCCTAATTCAGAAGGGAGAAAGTTCTAATAAGAACCAAAAGCCTAAATATACCTGGAGTGGAACTTTGACTGGAAGGAGCTTTCTTGATTGATTTCTCTTTTTAAGAGGGGGAAAAAAACACTCCAAAATAAAAAAAAAAACCAAAACACAAAAACCAAACCAACAATCAAGGGCTTTTGAATGAACTTTGTTATGTATCTTCCCCATCTCCTCTCACTTTGGGGCTTATCTGAAGGTTATGGATTATTGTTAAAATGTTTATACTGTCTCCCACCCACAAATCTACCTGCCTAGCTTTGCCTTTGGGGCTCTGGTGGACTAGTCTATAGGACATAGCATTTCCAAACAAAAGGCTGCATCTCTTCTGCATCTCCACTAGCCACTCTGAAGAAGATAGGTGGAAGTTTCCTCCATTAAGATATACAGCCTCAGAAATCTGAGAGATTTGCTATGAGTCCAAATCCTCTAGATATATAACAGTGAGAATAGAAATCATAATCCACTGTCATTGTTGTCAGGTGCAGTAGATTTGAATATAACTCATAAGGAATCTATGAATAGAAGATCTGAATTCTTAGTGACCCTATATACAAGAGCAAACAATAGTAGGACTTAGCTATACAGTATTTGTAGATCATCTCATAATAAATTAATTCTCTGCAACAACGTCCATCATGGAGAACCTACTGCATGCATACTTAATTATCAGAGCCCCTCCTATATGGGTCATTTCTTGGAATTCTCTACCTTCCATTATGAATAAACATGACACTTCTTCTCACCCTAAATCTTCAGAAACAAACTGAATTCTTTTGTTCAATGGGTTGTGGGCTAGCATTACTTTGGCCCTCCGTGTCTCCCTTTGCAGAGTGTTTTCCCTGGTAAGTTTCTTTCCAAGTTTGCATAGAAAAATCTGGACTCCTCTTACTCAGCATGAGCTAAAATGCAAATTTAAGGAGTACACTGCGGACATTTCTTGGTGATCATATTTAAAGGGTATTCTAATGATAGTTTGTGCTGAGAAGTCAGAGTGAAGTCTTATTGGTTGTAATTTGTAAGTAACATTTAAGGTTTTTTCTGAGCTGCTGTCAAGATTTTTCCCCATGTCTTTGGCTTTGGGAAGTTTGCTTATGACATATCTTGGTAGCTTTCTTTTGGGAGTCTGTCCTATATGAAGTTCTAATGGGTTTCCTGGAAGGTTACCCCTTTTTTTTCTCATTACGTTGGGGAAATTCTCTGATAAAAAAAATAACAATTCCATGATTTTTTTCCTTTTTCTGTTTTAGAATTCTGTTCACATATATTTTTCTTGATGGAGTATCACATAATTTTTAGGCTTTCCTTTATTCTTTTCCCCAATTTTTCCTCATACAAACTGGTTTCAGGGGATTTGTTTTCTAAGTCACTGATTCATTGTTTTGATTTAATTATATTCCTCCTTTTTTCCTTCCAATTTATTTTCTATCTCGGAAATATCAGATTTATGCTTCTGATTTTTCAGTTCTATCTCTATAATATTTCTAATTGTATATGTTGTCATTTTGCTCTTGAATTATTTTCCTGAATTCTTTTAGGATATTGTTTGGTTTTGCCTCAATTTTAGCTCTTTGAAGGTCTTAACTATGTAGGTTTTTTGTTCCTTATTTGATATCCTTAATACCTGTTCTTCAAAGAACAGATTGTGTTGTGGTTGTAAAAGTGACCTTGTTCTTCTTTATTTTAAACATTATCTTCTGCCATCTTTTTTTATTTTTAATTTTGTGTTAGAAAAGAAACTGTCTGTTGTTTATGAGACACTTCAGGGATGTATTTATTTGTTGGTTTTGTATTGGTTTTGATAATTTTTGTTTTGCTATATCCAGGCAGGCAAGATGAACAAATGTTCCTTGGTTGCTGGCTTTCTTACACCTGGCTCTGGAAAGGTGGAGTTTAGATATAGGTGTCCATTTGCTGGTTGTGAAGAGTAGCTGCAGGTGAGCAGTGCTTGGCTGAAATTTGAAACACAGGGGTAAATTTTGTTTCAGGTTCAGAGGATGACTAAAGGCAATAGACTCACAGGTTCTCTCAGTCAGACTAGAACACTATTTTTGTTCCATATTTCCCGCTGCTCGACCCAGAACCTTCTACTGTGATCCCTTCTAGAGTGGTCAGGATCATGAAAGTTGAGGTTCATGTGGTCTCTTAGTCCTGTTGAACCATTATTTCTATATATTTTGCTTCCCTCTCTTTTGTTCTGATCATCATCTTTAAACAGAACATTTAGTATTGATATAAATGTATGTGGATCAAAGTAGAAGGATTTTCTTTCAAACTTTTTGCTTTTTGGGCTATACCAAAAGCCTTTAATCACATCTCCCCTTAGATAAAACTTCCAGGAAGACAGCTTTAGCTTCCCTAGATCATTCTTTACCTCTCCCCTCTGGCTAGTCCCCTGAGTAGTTCAGTTAATAACTAATCCACCCCTTTCTACTCCATGATCTTCCCCCTATAATCCTTCCTTCGTGTGATTATTCATGTTTCATCAGACCAACCTTTTCATCCCAGAATCTATGCAACAATAAGGTAGTACAATACAGCTAAGGTTGAGGCCTGATCATTTGTTAACTATACATTTATTAATCAGAGAAATAAAACCATTTGATCAAATAAATGGTGCTTTATTCAGAAGAGTAATACTCTGCCCAGTAAGGTCATAAGGCATTCATTTCCTCATCTTTCCAGCTTTTAGCCTGAAAAAAAAGAACATATCATGACATTTAGAAGGTCTTTATATTTACAGAGGGCTTTTGCCACAAGAGATGTCAAGGAACAAAGGAGAAATCCTCACAAAAGTAAAGTGAGATGATGAAGAGTTATCTCAAAGGAATGGAATCAGATAACTTTTTCTTTTCAATATTTTCATATAATGGAGATGTATTATGCATAAATAATTAGGAAAATGATCTATTTTTAATGTGGTAAGAAAAAAAGCATAGCTTTTACTAAATCACACATAACCCTTCACACAAATGCCTCTATTAACATTTTTATATGAATTTGGGGGATGATTATTCAAGAGGACAGGACAGATAAAGGAGAGCTCAATTTTTATTTAAAAATATGCTTTCAAAGTACAATAACAGAAATTCAAAAGAGGGTCTCTGCACCTTCTGAATACCACCACCCTACCCCATGACCCTACTTTTCTTTCTGTGAGGCTCACCTTGTTCACAGGGATCAGAATATTGTATCGTTGCCTGCTCATCTGTAAAACGAAATGGCACATATCATTCCATTGAGGACTGGCTATAATCACACAGGAACACTTCATAGAAGTACACCACTTTAGCTCTCTGCAGAGGATCCTAGCAAAGGGAGCTCTGTGGTGCAGTCTATAAAGTGATGAATTGCTAACTCGAAGGGTCCTTACAGGTTGTGAATACATTAAAAATTATAGTAGGTTTCACAAGACAGTGATTGTAAAAATAGAAGGATAATTAGTAATATCTGAATAAAAGTCCAAAAGAGAAAGGGGAGGGGGACAGGGGAATAGAAGGTATTATTGTTGTTAGGTGTTGTTGAGTCGAGTATGACTCATAGCAACCCTATGAACACCCAAACTTATCCCTGTCCTATTCTGTGTCGTCCTCATTACCTCTGACACCCCACTGCACATTACTGAAGCCACAGTGTCAATCTGTCTCATCGAGGTCTTTCTCCCCTTCACTGTGCTTCCATGTTTCCAAGCATGATGTCCCTTTCCAAGGAATAGCCTCACCCAGCTACATGCCCAAAGTAGGAAAGATGAAGATTTGCCATCTTTGTTTCCAAGGAGCACTCTGTCCACACCTTTTCCAAGACATATCTGTTTGTTCTTTTGGCAGTCCATGGGATATTCAGTATTCTTCTCTAGCACCACAATTCAAAGACATCAATTTGTCTTCTGTCATTCTCATTCATCGTCCTGTTCTCTGACACATAGCAAGTGACTGAGAAGACCATGGCCTGAATCCGGTGCACTTAGTCTTCAAACTGACATCATTGTTCACTTTGGTGAGGTCCTGACAACAAAGTTGCCCAATGCAATCTCCTGATTTTCACTACTGTTGCCATGGGTGTTGATTGTTGATGTAAGCAAGTTTAAATCATTGCCAGCTTCAATCTTTTCTCCATCAATCACGATGCTAACTGTTGGTCTCGTGGTAAGGATCTTTGCTTTCTTGAGGATGAAATGTAATCCATATCAAAAGCTGCAACAGATGTTTCATATCCTTCTCAATTTCAGCAAGCAAAGCTTTGTCATCTGTATAACACAGGTTGTTGATAAGTCTTCCTCCAATCCTAAAACCACATTCCTCTTCATAGAGTTCAGCTTCACATATTATTTGCTCAGTATCAAGACTGAACAGGTATTTGAGAAGGATACAATTTTGATGCACATCCTTCTTGATTTTAAACCAGGCAATGTTCCCTTGCTCTGTTCACACAACAGCCATTTTTGGCCTACATATAGGGTCTGTATTGTTGTTTTTGTTATGTGCCGTCGAGTCGCTTGCGACTCATAGCGACCCTATGTACAACATCCCTAAACTCCGCTCTGTCCTGTGCCAATCGCACTGTCTCTGACCCTCCCATCCCAATTATCCCAGTCACTGAATCAATCCACCTCATAGAGGGCCTTCCGCTCTTGCGCTGTCCCTCCACCCTCCCAAGCATGATTTCCTTCTCCAAGGACCTGTTTCTCCTCACAACTTGTCCAAAGAATGTTAGACGGAGCCTCAGAATCCTTGCCTCCAAGGAGCCACCCAGTTTAACCCTTTCCAGGACAAATCTGTTTGTTTTCCTAGCAGTCCATGGTATTCTCAATACTCTTCTCCAGCACCACAGCTCAAAGGAATCAATTCTCCTTCTATTCTCCCTGGTCATTGTCCAACTCTCTGATGCAGCCTACAATATGGATTGAGGCTCAATGTCAAGAAGACAAAGATTCTCACCAATTGGCAGCATCAGGATAGATGGTGAAGAGATTGAGATTGTACACAGCTTTAGCTTGCTTGGCTCCACAGTCAACAGTCTTGGCACCAGCAGCCAGGAAATTAAAAGGTGCATTGCCATGGGAAAGTCTGCTGTTAGGGACCTCTCCAAAGTACTGAAGAGCAATGATGTCTCTCTGGAGACTAAGGTGCGTCTGATACAGGCCATGGTCTTCGCAATCACTTGTTATGCATCAGAGAGTTGGGTCTGTATTAGCACAATTAATATGTTCTGCGATTCCTATTCTTCTCAATGTTAGCTATAATTTGTTGCAATCCACCCAGTCAAATGGCTTTGCATAGTCAATAAAACACAAATAGGCATTCTTCTGATACCTTCTATTTTCAGGCAGGGTCCACCTAACATCAGCAAGAATATCTCTGGTGCTGCGGTCTCTTCTAAAATCAGTTGGGACTTTTGGTAGTTTCTTGTCAATGTACTTTTCTAGTCATTTTTTAATGATCTTCAACAATATTTTGCTCACATGAGATATAAATGATATTATTTGATAATTTTCACATTCTGTTGAATCACCTTTCTTGGGAATGAGGACAAATATGGATCTCTTCTGGTCAGAAGACCAGATAGCTATCTTTTTTTTTTTTTTTCCAGATAGCTATCTTGCAAATTTCCTGGCATAGATTGGTGACCACATCCCAGCTTTATCTGGGAGTTTAAACACATCAATTGGTAGTCCGTCAATTCCTGGAACTTTATTTTTTTGCTACTGCCTTCATTGCTGCTTGAACTTCATCTTTCATCACCTTTAGCTCTTGTTCATATAGTGCTTCCTGAAATTTTTCAGTGTCAACTAATTCTCTTGATACAGCAATTCTGTATGTTGCTTCTATGTTCTTTTGAAGCTTGCTGGATCATTCAAGATCATGCCCACAGCATCTTTCAGTACTGCAACGCCAGGTTTGTGTTTATTTTCATTTATTTCAACTTAAGAAATGCTGAGTGCTTCCTTTTTTATTTTCTGACTCCAGTTCATTGCACATTTAATTATAATATTTTGTTTTATCTTCCCAAGCTGCCCTTTGACATCTCCTGTTTGGCTCTTTATTTTTGCATCTTTCTTTTTTATGACCTCTTGACTCTGTCATTCAATTTTCATAGTCTTTTCTTTCTTCTTTGTAATGATATTTTGCTTTTTTCCTGGATAATATCTCTGATGTCCTCCTACAGGTCCTCCTGTCTTCGATCGTTGATGCTCAATGCCTCAACTCTGTTCTTAATGATTCTTAAATTCAATAGGGATAAATTCAATAGGGATAAATTCAAGGTCCTATTTTGGCTCCTGTGGAGTAGTTTTCATTTTCTTCAGCTTCAACTTAAACTCGCATTGAGTAATTGATCTGTCCGACAATTGGCACCTGATCTAGTTTTTATTTCAGATATGGAGCAGAAATCACTAGGATAAAAGAGTTTGGTGGGTGATGGGTGTTGAAAAATTAGGAAAGACTCAATGGGGACCTGAAAAGATGGGCTAATAGTAATTATAGACCAGTGGTAATTAATTTTACTAAACAGTGTACATGAGTGACCAGTCTGAAAGTAGGAATGTGTGAAGTGCAATGTACATGAATGATACACAATATACACAAATGTTGTGTGCAAACCAAAATAAAACTAAAAAGTGGAGAAAAAAATTATAGTAGACTTCAATCACTAAAATTTGCCACCTTCTAGAAAATCAGAAATGAATGGTCTAGTGAGTTTGTCATAAATGTATTGAGAATATTTGTTCTTTAGAGAAACATGATCTATTATGTTGTTTTTATTTGATCCTTGTTATATGCCATTCAGTTGACTCCAATTCACAGTCACCCTATGTAAAGCAACACAAAAGAAGAGCTAAAGTCTTTTTGAGTCATGGGGTTTTTATAGACTGTTGTTGTTAGGTGCCATGGAGTTAGAAACAACTCATAGCTGACCCTTCCAGCAGGTTTTTAGAGGTAATAAATCACATTGGGTGGGGAAGATTGCCCATATTTAGGAGCTAATGGATTACAACTGCCTGTCTTGGTGTTATAGATTGCATCATATTAAATACTTCAAGTGTTCATAGGGTCACTATGAGTCATAGTCAACTTGATGACACATAACAACAACAACAACAACAACAACAACAGTCTTGTCTCATGTGCTTTGGGCATGTTGTTAGGAGAAGCCAGTCTTTGGAAAAGGACATCATGCCTGGAAAGGTGGAGGAAAGAAAGGAAAGTGAAAGAGAAGAAGAGCTTCAACAAGTGACTGTAGTAACGGGCTGGAGTATATCAAGGATGGTGAGGATGGCGCAGGAAAGGGTAAGATTCAGATCTGCTGTTCTGGGTTCTGGGGGTTACTATGAGTAGTAATTGCTTCAAAGGCACCCAACAACAACAACAGCAACAGAACAGTATAGAAGATAGGGAGCTCCTTTGGCATAGTCGTTAGAGAGCTTCGCTACTAAGCCAAAGGTGGAGACTCTCTAGCAGTTCACATCCCCGAGGGGCTCTCTGAGAGAAAAATGGGCAGTCTCCTCTCAATTTACAGTCTCCAAAAGCCAGCTGGAGTTTAGATTATGAGTCAGTTCCAACTCGATGGCAATGAGTGAAAGTGTAGAAGAGAAAGGAGCCCTGCTCACCAGATTTCAGGAGAAGGAGGAGCAATCTCCTCCTGTACCAGTCAGATCCGATTTGATGGCACACACACACAAAATAATAAAATAAAAAAATTTTAAAAAAAGAAAGGAGCCCTGGTTGCACAGGGCACAACATATTGTGCTGCTAACCAAAAGGTCAGTAATTTGTTCCACCAAGTGTTCTAAATGGGAAGGATGAGTAGTCTCTTCTTGTAGAGATTAATACCTTCAGAAACCTGATGTAGGTTCTCTGTGAGTCAGAAATGATTCAGTGGCAATGAGTTATGGTTTGAGTTCATGTAGGAGACTTTTTAAAAGTGGTGTAAAATGGAATGAAAATGTTTTAGTGGATTAGATAATGTAAGCCAACTACTGGGTTTGGGAAGGAATACTCTGAAAATTAAAGATTCTAAGAAGAATGAGACAGGGCTCCGTTGGGGGAGGCAGGTTAAGAGAGCAGTTATCCTTCTGTGCTTACAATAATGATCTTATGAAGCATTTGTCCTTATGAGACTGAGTTCACGCAGCATAATGCTCTCCAACATGTATGGGAGCTCAGGGAGGGTGGGGGGTGGGGTGAAAGGGTGAAAGGGTGGTAGCAGAGGGGTGAGGATGGGTAGAGGCTAAAACACAGGGTTGCACAGTTTGAAGGGTGGAGAGAGGTGGGAAGGAAATGGGAAGTATCTGGGGAAAAGACAGGGTGAGCAAGGTCCAATGGTGATTAATTTTATAAAATATATTTCATGTGAATGATTGTATGAAGTACAATGTGGATGAAGAATAGTGTGAAACACCATGTCTGCAAACTTTATAAGCAAACAAACACACAAGATCGGGTAGTAGTCAGATCTCTCACCTGGTAGGTAGTAGTCATAGACCTTGATGGCTGCTGGTTTCAGATTGGTGACCAACACACTTTGGTTGATGGTGAAGGTATAAGCCTGAGTCTCCTTACTAAGCTATGGAGAAGATAGCAGAAATACGATATGAAAATGAAAATAGTATTTATATAACGTGGAGATTACATCGATTCCTGGCATTGTTTTAAAATTTTCTGAAACTCTTCTACCTGTGTCTTCTACCTATGTTAATAAAGCATAGGGATTTGCTTTCTGCTGACTTCTTGGCTCTTCTTAACCTGTCATTCCTTAAGTCTGCTTATGAAAAGTATTATTCTACTCAAGATCAATTCCAACCTATTTTAAAGGGCCAAATGGAATAGAGACTGCTATTTTATTCCCACGGTTCTGTGCTCCCTATTGGTTTTCCTTTTCTCATCATTCAGGTGCCACTTACTCTGAGACACTTTCACTGATTGCCTTATTTTTAAATAATCGCAGCACTGGCCCATTTGCCATCATGTCTCTCTGTCCCTTTACCCTTCATAGCACTTAAAACTACTCAAATCACTACTATAGATAGATAGATAGATAGATAGATAGATAGATAGATAGAGATATATAGAGCTAGAGCTAGAGCTAGAGATGATAGAGATGATAGAGGTGATATAGAGATATAGAGATAGAGATAGTGTATATATATAGTATATATGTAAATATATATTCACTACTATATATTATGTAAATATGTATATATTTACATAATTATGTGTTATATAACATCTGTCAGATTGCATATATACCTCATGTTTCCAATCCCCATGAAACCCATTATATTAAAAATGAAAGGTTTATACAAAGATTCATAATAATAAATAGATGTTGCTTTGTGATACACAACAAAATAGGGATATTATTATTACTGTATTGTGCTAAAATATTTTAATATGTCCCAAAGTATTTCTTTAATGCTGTCTTATGTATAGAAAGGTATACTGCATACTAATAATATATACTAAGACAAGCATTTTACTAACTGACGTTAGATACAAATCATACATAACTGTTCTCACTTAGGTACAAATTTGACAAATTTAGGGGAAGCACTCTTTAGTAATATGATAACTGCTTCTATATAACATGGTATTTGTGAAAATATCCAAATCATATAACATCCTATTTCACAGAACATACTGTAAACAGTAAGTAAAGTACAGCACTACATATGTGTACACACTCATACACTGAATATATACATTGTTGTTAGATGGCATCGAGTTGACTACAATTCACAGACACTACGAACAACAGATTGGAAGTTCGCCCTTTCTTGTGCCATCATCATGACCTTTGCCGTGCCCAAGCTCATCATTACAGTTTCTATGTCAGTCCATCTTGTTGAGGATTTTTCTCTTTCTCTGACCTTGATTTTCCAAGCATGATGTCTTTTTACAAGGAAGCATGCCTCCTGACAACGTGCTCAAAGAATGTGAAATAATAGCCTCACTGTCCTTGCTTCTAGATAGCACATTGGTTGCATTTCCTTCAAGACAGAATTGTTTGGTCTTTGGGCAGTCCAATCCCTGGCATATTCAATATTCTTCACCAACACACAATTCAAAGTCATCTATTCTTCTTCAGCCTCCATTATTCTTTGCTCAGCTTGCAAATGCATAGGAAGCAATTGAAAATATTTGGTTTGAATCAGGGATTCCAAGATGGTGGTGGTGGAGAAAGCAGTGTGAGGACCTGAAGGAGCAGCAAGCTGCATAGAAACAGCCCCCTAGAGGGACCGTCACAGCACAGAGATCGAAGCAGCACAATGTGGACAGTAGGAATTTGAGTCACAAAATATTTGGCTTGAATCAGGTACACCTTAATCTTTAATTTATATCCTTGTTCTTTAAGATTGTAAAGAGATACTTGACAGGAGATTTCCCCAATGCAACATGGATTTTAGAATTTTTTTTTTCTCATTAAAATTTGTTTTAATGGATCTCAAATTCTGTGACAAACTTTTGGTCAAGTTGTTTCCATTTAAAAAGTACTGATTGTAAAAACGTAAAACTGCCACACGAAAAAGAAAACAACTGGTCCACAAAGCATCCCTTTCTATTTGAAGGTTTTATGATGCATTGTTATCATTAACTATTCTTTTACTATTAAATTGAAATGGCCAATAGAGATTAACAGTTCTGAGACCATTCTTCCACACCTGATTAAGACTGGGTGGCAGGTGTTATTGGTAATACTCATTTAGCCTTCTGAGCTTTCTGAGCAGACTTGGTGACCTTGTCAGCTCCAGCAGCTTCTTGTCCACCGCTTTTATGAGACCCACAGTAACAGTCTGTCTCATGTCATAGACAATAAAAACAACCCAGAGGAGGGTAGTCAAAGAAGCTCTTCCCACACATGGGCTTGCTAGGAACCACATCAACAATGGCAACATCACCAGACTTCAGAAATTTGGGGCCATCTTCCAGCTTCTTACCAAAATGGTGATTAATCTTCTCTTTAAGCTCAGCAAATATGCAAACAATGTGATCTGTGTGACAATCCAGCACAGGTGCATAACTAGCACTGATGTGGCCAGGATGGTTAAGATGATCACCTGAGCAGTGAAGTCAGCTATTTCTATTGGTGGGTCATTTTTGCTGTCACCAAACAACATTGGCATGTCAAACATCTTTCACAGAGATGTTCTTAAAGTTGGAAGCCAACATTGGCACCAGATAGAGCTTCATTCAGAGCTTCATGGTACATTTCAACAGACTTTATTTCAGAGGTAACATTGACTAGGCAAATGTGACCACCATGCCAGAGCTTGAGAATACCAGTCTCCTCTCTGCCCACAGGGATAGTACCAAAACCATCACTCTTGGGTTTTGGGGTGTTTTTTTAAATATTTATTTTCTTTTATATTTCCTATTAATTCATTTTTGCACATTTTCCTCCCTGCCCACTCCTCCCCCAGTTCACTTTTCTCTTTGAAAAAAAAATTCTTTCATTGTTATATACCACCCCCAGTCCACTTTACTATGCAACTCTTGTTCTGGACTCTTGTCATGCAAATAATGCCTAGTCATATATTCCTTTTAAACAGTTCTCTCCATCATCTGTTTCAATGCAGTATACATCATTTATTCCCTCTCTTCTTAGTTTCCCCCCAACCCCATGTCAATCCTGTTTTATAACAGTGGCATTATACAGTATTTGTCCTTTTGTGACTGAGATATTTCACTTAGCATAATGTCCTTCAGGGTCATCCATTTTGTATAATATTTCATAAGTTCCTTGCTTTTCAATGCTGCATAATATTCCATTGTGTGGATATACCACAGCTTCTCTATCCATTCATTTGTTGATGGGCACTTGAGTTGTTTCCAACTCTTTGCTATAATGAAAAAAGCAGCAATAAACATGTGTGTGCATATATCTTTCTGGGTGGCAATTCTGGTTTCTTTGGGGTATATTCCCAGTAGTGGAATTGCTGGGTCAAATGATATTTCTATTTCCAACTTTTTTACAAAGTGTGATACTGCCTTCCATAGTGGTTGCACCATTTTACACTCCCACCAACAGTGAATAAGGGTTCCAGTTTCTCCACAACCTTGCCAGTATTTGTTGTTTTCTGTTCTGTTAAATTTTGCTATTGTTACACAAAAACCAGCTCAAAGTGAATCAAGGACCTAGGACTAAAACCAAGGACTATAAGTTTCATTAGACAAAAGCTTGGAAGAACTCTAGAAGCCCTTATCTACAACATGAACAGTCTTCCAAACATCCTAAAAAACCTACAACAAGGAGAGGATAAAGCAGATGAATGGGACCTTGTAGGAATCAAATCCCTATGCACATCAAAATCTCCAACAGGGTAAAAAAGGAAAGTCACAGACTGGGAAAAAAATATTTGGTAATGCCATGTCTGATAAGGGAATTATATCTAAAATATATAGACACTCAAGCACCACAACAAGATAAACAACCCAATTGCAAAATGAGCACAAGATATGAACAGACACTTCACCAAAGAAGACATTCAGATGGTGAACAAACACAGGAAGAAATGTTCAAAATCCCTAGCTCAAAGAGATGCAAATCAAAATAACCACCGGTCTTGTAGACTTCCTGGAGAGGCAGACACAGGGGCTGGCTTATCAGTTGGACGAGTTGGTGACCGGATGCAATCCAAAGCTTCAAGCAGTATAATTCCACTGGCGCTACCATCCTTCTGGTTGATTTTTCATTCCTTGAATCAAGGCATATTAATTAACATTTGGCTCTAGCTTGTTGCCACCATTCCAACCAGAAATTGGCACAAAGGCTATTGTGCCAGGGTGGTAGCCAATATTTTTTATGTAGGTGCTGACTTCCTTAACTATTTCCTTCTATCTCTTCTGGCTGTAGAGTGGCTCAGTGGAATCCATTTTGTTAACACCAACAATTAGTTGCTGCACACCAGTGTGTAAGCCAAAAGGGCATGCTCATGGGTCTGCTCATTCTTTGAGATGTTGTTATTGTGTACCTTCGAGTCAGAACCGACCAATAGCTGACATTCTGGTGGGTTTTCAGAGGCAATTAATTGCATGGGAGGAGATTGTCCATTCTCCCCAGCAGAGCTGCTAATGGCCTTTGAACCACATACCTTTGGAATTGCAGTGCAATTAAGATACCAGCCTCAGATTCACCAATACCAGCAGCAACAATCAGGACAGCGCAGTCAGCCTGTGATGTACCTGTAATCATGTTCTTTATAAAGTCTTTGTGCCCTGGGGCATCAGTGAAGGTCATATTATACTTGCTGGGCTCAAATTTCCACAGGGAGATATCAGTAGTGATGCCACGCTCATGTTCAGTTTTCAGTTTATCCAAGACCCAGGCGTATTTGAAGGAGCCTTTTCCCATCTCAGAAGCTTCCATCTTGAATTTCTCAATGGTTCTTTTGTCAATCGATCAGGTGACTACTAGTGATGGACTTGCCTGAATCTACATGTCCAGGGAGATGAAGATGTTGATATGGGTCTTCTCCTTTCCCATGTTGGCCTAGGTTTTGCATTGCTATTCACCAACACCTGTATTCTGGTGACAAACCCACTGTGAAAGACTGGGTTTTTTGTTTG